CAGAGAATTGCCAGAGTACTGCCAGAGCACTGCCAGAGAATTGCCAGAGTACTGCCAGAGTACAGCCAGAGTACAGCCAGAGAATTGCCAGAGTACAGCCAGAGAATTGCCAGAGTACTGCCAGAGCACTGCCAGAGAATTGCCAGAGTACTGCCAGATCACTGCCAGAGAATTGCCAGAGTACTGCCAGAGCACTGCCAGAGAATTGCCAGAGTACTGCCAGAGTACAGCCAGAGTACAGCCAGAGTACTGTCAGAGAATTGCCAGAGTACTGCCAGAGCACTGCCAGAGAATTGCCAGAGTACTGCCAGAGTACAGCCAGAGTACAGCCAGAGAATTGCCAGAGAATTGCCAGAGTACTGCCAGAGTACTGCCAGAGTACCAGACGTTGACACTTGTGTCAATGTCAGTAATGTTTGTTTTATAATAACAATAATGACATTGTTGAACATTTATTTGCTAATTTTGATCTTCATTAATTAATTATAATTTAAAATGTCACAAGTAGAAGGAGGAGGAGGAGGAGGAGGAGCAAAAGGAGGAGCAGGAGGAGGAGGAGGAGGAGGAGGAGGAGCAGGAGGATGAGGTGGTAAAGAAGACTTTCTGTGTGTTCTAGTGCCCACACCATACAGTACGCCAGGAAGAGATTTCCTGTGTCCCAACACAGAGTCTGTCAAAGTCAGTGTGCCATAAACACCAGGATGTTCTACGACATCAGGTCGTATTTTACAGTCTGTAACGCAGCATGATTTCCTGTCTGTTCTGACCCACAATCCTCTGCACAGAGAACGATACATCACATCGACTGAGCTGCAAACAGATGACAGTTTGACATCTGTCTGGAGTCATAATGATGGACGACAGCACATTAAAGTAACCAATGACCAGTCGAACAGTAATAACAGGACTTTTAATTGTTTAGGTCAACAAAATAATCATAAAGATCAACAACAACATCAGGACAGAAGAGCTGCAAACGTGATCTAACTATCACTGATATCATCTGTTTGAATCTACAACTATAAAGTTAAACTACACACGTCACAGAGTAACATCATCAGAGATCTGCAGGTCGACCTCTGTCTGACGAAATCAGTAAATGGCGTTTGATTTATCTCCACGGTAACGGATATAGAAGCAGGAGGGTCAAAGTTCAGGGTGTGATGTTATGAGACAGTATCTGTCCTGATCACGTGCAGACTGCAGGTAACAGTACGTTTGTTTGAGGAGCAGCTGCAGGACGCACTGACAGTAATAAGACACAAGCTGTGTGATTCAGAACACATTAGCCCCTCCCCCGGGTGATGGGCAGGGTCAGAGGTCAACAGGAAGTCTTACCTCTCCAAAAGCTCCTCGTCCAATCACCTTCAGCATCTCAAAGTCATCTCTGTGCAGCCGCATGTCCTTTATTGTGGTGGTGAACGGCTTCACTGTGGACACAGAGGACAGGAGGACACAAGGACAGGAGGACACAGAGGACAGGAGGACACAAGGACAGGAGGACACAGAGGACAGGAGGACACATTATTATCATTAAAATATAACAGAAGTATAATTCTCTTTCTTTGGGAGTAAACAGGTTGGAGTATTGATGAAGCTGCAGACTGACCAACAGGATCAATAATTTTAAATATGATCAACAGTCTCATCAATAACTGATAATGATCACTGATCGCCCATCAGTTATTTGACTATGTGACTCCTTTCATCAAACTGTTCATGACCTCAGTGCTCTGATTATTTCATGTCTCCTGGTCGTCACTGTCAGTCAGAATATTCTGATGAATAATGATCGTGTCCGTCCGTCCCAGTCTGACCAGTTACAGGATCGTCCCAGTCTGACCAGTTACAGGATCTAGACTGGAGTCTGGTTTGATGGTTTCAGATTGTTTATTTATAGCAAACTGCTTTCTGGGTAAATGTAGGTCAGTGAGAGACGGAGCTGAAACGTTCATCAGAAACCAGATTAATCAGACTCACTGCTTTCCCTTCATTCGTCTCTATCTGAGGACGAGACGTTTAAATATTTAAATCAAACAGAGACGTCTGTGGACTTCCTGTTGGACTCTGAGACACTGAGACAGACGTCTGTCACGTTCTATAAACGTTTGATGGATCAATAAACACAGACACAATCATTAGTTAAAGGTCAAAAACAAAAGTCACTAACTCAGTAAATTAACGGTGATCAATACAGCAATCGACCGATTGACTGCATCAGTCAGAGAAACAGGAACATCTACACAGCTCCTGAAACCAGGCCAGACCAAACCAGGCCAGACCACGTTTAACAGGGACAGACTGAACCAGGACACAGTGGACCGAAGTGGGACAACGTCCACTGAGCTCAGACTCACCACAGCCCCCCATCAACTCAGACAGGACCACCCCCCCCCCCACCCCCCCCATCCTCCTGGAGCCCCTCTCATGTCTCAAGGATCCCTGAATCTCCTCCAGAACTCTTTCTGAAGGTGCCTGGAACTACTCAAGGACCCCTGGACACACCCACCCCCCTGAGTCCCCCACAGGACATGTTAAACCCACTCAGTCTGGACTCTTTTCAAACATCAGCTCTAAACTCCTGAGGTGACACGACAGCTCCCTCGAGGACCCTGAAGTGTCACTGAAGACCCCTTTAGAACCCCTGGAGCCCCCCTGACCCTCCCTGGAGCCCCCCTGACCCTCCCTGGAGCCCACCTGACCCTCCCTGGAGCCCACCTGACCCTCCCTGGAGCCCACCTGACCCTCCCTGGAGCCCACCTGACCCTCCCTGGAGCCCACCTGATGTCCTGGCCTCCAGGGAGCACCTGGCGCTGCCTCTGAAGGGCCCCTTCTTGAAGTTTATTTTTAAAAGCTTTCTAGAATAAAACAAGGAGGACTCGGGTCCCGGGTCCGGGACCGGGACCAGGACCGGGACCAGGACCGGGTCTGGGCTCTTACCCCACTCCAGAAAGTCTGTGACGTGCTTCTCCCTCTTGAGCGGGGAGTGGGACACCTCCGTGTAGAAGCAGAGCAGCAGGTCGAGCAGCGCCTCCACACTCAGACATCCCGCCACCTTCCGCTCCAGCAGCAGCTCCTCCAGCCGCTTCAGACGCTCCTGAGCCGACATCCTGTCCCGGGACACCGACCCGCCGCTCCCGCCCTGTGCCCGTCACCAGCCCCGCCGCTCAGTCCGAGTGTTACCCGCCGCCCAGGCTCCGTTTCCTGCCGAGTCCTGCCGAGCTCAGCCTGCTAGCTGCAGCTAGCTCGTTAGCTCCGGGAAAACATTCCCGACATTTTGAGCCGTCTGCGTGTCGGTGAGTCAGTGTGTCTCCGCCGGTTACCGTCGCTCCGTCGTGTGGAGAACCGTTCAGCCTGCAGGCCCGCGTCTGTCCGTGCTGCACATCGGCTTTAATCCCGGTAAATCTGGACTTTCCTCTCAGAACTCGGGATGTCGGTCAGACCGTCGACTCTCTCAGGTTGGCCGCCGCTGCTCCATGTCCGCGGGTCGGTGTATCAGCTCGGTAACATCCGGGAGCTCCGGTACCGGCTCGGCTTTACCTACGGTCCCCGTTAGCACCGTGCAGGAGCGTGCGGGGGGATTAGGGAGGGTTTTTCGGTAGTTTGGGTCAGGCTGCCGGTGTGGCTGGTCAGTGGGAATATGGCTGAACTCAGATCGGATCCTTCAACAAGTGCGAGACATTCACGCGCACTTCCTGTCTCCCGGAGTTTCACAATAAAACAGCACAGTGCAAAGGAGCAGTCTGACGTCATGATTTATTTATTGTTTAGGGACTGTTGTTTACTAATCAGAGTTTAATCAAAATTTTGGACAAAGTCAGAATCAGAAAACTTTTTCAGTCCCTGTGATTCGTTACAGTTGCTCTGAGGTAACGAATGAGAATAATATGAAATAGGAGTATGTAAATATAAAGCAATAAAATAAAACAGAAAGAAAAATGTGCGCTATGCTAGTGTCTAACACTAGTGCTTAAGATATTACAAATAATATGCATCGTCACTGTGAGACGTGGAACAAAATGATCTTGATGAAATATCACTATTTTAAGTTCTGTTTTTGTTCTGACAGAACTCATGAAGGAACCGCTGACAATTTAAAACTCCAACTATACTTTCTGTTTTTTCAGTTTGTGGCTGATAAACGGTGTTAATTTTAAGAAAACATGACATCCCTCTGACCTCTGACCCTCACATGACATACATCGATTCAACAGAGAAATATATTCATATTTAGGATTAAGCTTCATATCATAAGATGCCTGTAAAATGAAAAAATCAATAAATAAAATAAAAACAGATCAAATCAAAGTGTCTCCAGAACTTTAATGAAAAAAGATTAATTATGAATTCTAAATAATTTGTCTTTATTTGAAATATATTTATAGGCTATATGTATAATATTTGAATGTGTGAGTCATGACTGTTTAATAAAGTTGTGATGTGTTCAAATCCCTCATCATAACATTTAATCATGTTCATAGTTTAACTGATTAAAATAAAATCATGAAGAACATTTTATATTCACCGTTCAAAACTCTCCGTGCTTTTACTTTGAAGGATGATGTCCCGCTCCCGGAAGTGGGTACCTGCGGCTCTGTGCTGACCTGACTCACCTGTCTGTCTCTCCCTAAGGAACACGGTGGCCCCGCCTTCCTGCACCGGAAACGCTCTGGATACAAGACGTCATGCCATGATTGACAGGAGCCGGGAGAGACTGGTACGCCCCCACCCCAAGAGTGGAACACCAGGGTGTGACATCATCTGTGTGACATCATCACAAGATATGTTTATTTTAAAGTTATGTATTTATTAAATCACTTGTTGTTTATTTACTCAGTCACTTGCTGCTGTTGCTGCTGCTGCTGCTGTTGTTGTTGTTGTTGTTTATGCTCCACAGTTCAAATGTTTACATGTTGCATATTTTACACTCAGTGAATAAATGAATTAATACATTAAACATATTAGTGATTTATCTGGATAATTATTATTAATGATCAATAATGTGAAGCAGTGCTGTGATGTTCTGCCACACGGTGGCACTCCAGTGTTCAGAACATGAACACGTCGTCCTTCAGGTCACTCCGAGTGTTTCTGTTCAATTCAACAGTTTTATGAACACGACATTTAACATGTTGCTGAAACACAATTAAAAGGCAGTGAATCAAATTTACAAACAAACAACAGAGAAAAAAAGACAAGCGACCGAGCGTCAGAGGCGACCCTGTGTCCATACTGATGCTGCAGGTGATCAAAGTAACACCAGTGATGTCACAGCGTCACCACTGTCTCCAGCTTGTTCCTGTTTTCAAGTCTCAGGTTTACAAACTGACAGACGGACGGACTCAATAAAAGCAGAACAGAACATTTCCATCGTCCTGTCGACATCCAGACTCCTCCGCTTCCTGAAACAGCTCAGGTGTTGGTTTGTCCTTCAGATGTCATCAGACACAGCTGCCACGACTGTCTGCTGATCACACAGGAGCAGGACGGGACATGGACCTCCTCTGAAACCAGTAAACATGTCACTGGTGTTGGACACATTAATGTGGAGGACAGACTGGTCACACTGGTTCACACGAACATCCAGTCCTGGGCCGTGATCGTGTTCTGATCCATGAAGGTGAACAGTAACAGAGTCATCACGTACCTGAGAACAGATCTACAGGTGTGATCACTGCCACATTCAACAGAACACGACCCTGAGGAGGTCCAGGAGAAGAGAAACAGGTCCTGGACAGAGTCCTGTGAACCTGGACCCTCTGGACCTGTTTGTTAAAAAGCCAACGAGCCAACACACAAAATCCAAAATCCAATTCTGCTCCAAATATCCATCGACTGTCAGGACATCAGGTGAACATACAAGACTCTGAGATATACAGGTACTAACTAGAACCATATAGGGTTCTTCAACTTGTCCCCAGAGGAGAACCCCATGTGATCTCATGTGGAACCTTTCATAAAGGTTTCACATGGACATCTGTCAGAGGGTTTGACCAAGAACCATTTATGAAAGGTTGGACCAGAATCCCTAAAAAAAGAAATATGTTAGGGTGAGGATCTTTCAACAGTCCTTTCTCCTAAAATGGGTTCTTAATGGAACCCTTCATCACAAAAAACCATGAAGATAAACCACGAAGAAGGGTTCTTTGGATGAAATGGGTTTCATTAGTTTTATAAAGATTCTCTGAAGATCACTTTCTTCAAAAACAGGTTCTTCAGAGGTGAATCGTTCTGGGTAGAACCTCAGTCCTTCAGGAGGAACTCTCATTTTTAAGAGTGTGTGGACTGACAGTTTGAACCTCTTCAGTCTGAGTTAACTCTCTGTCACTGTGGTTTAATAATGATGGAGCGTCCCTGAAGACACCCCGATGGACCCAGTGTTGTCCCCTGACAGGAGACACTGTGGGGACGTCCCCTCATCTCATTCTTCTTCTTCTTTACAGATGTCAACAGTCCGTCTGCTGTCTGAATCTGACCTCATCAGAAATCATCAGATGAACCGTGACTGCGGTGGACATCCGTCCTGCTGATGGTCCAGCTGGAGAATGGGGGGTGGGGGGGTGGAGAGTATTACGAGGCTGATTAGCTGTAAGGAGATTAGCGGCGCAGGCTAACAGGAGCCTGAAAACTCTTTTTCTCAGCAGCAATATTTCCTCAGTGCGGTGAAACTGTGTAGAGGTCGGCTGCAGAGGATGATGGGAGGTCAGGGGGACGACAGGCGGCGGCTGGATGTCTCACAGCTCTCTGTCCACAGCAGGTAAACTTGTGTTTTTTTATCTTCCTGTCAGCTGATTGGCTGAGTGGACCTAAGACGGCAGCGAACTCGATCGTTCCATCTCATTGATGAGTTAAAGTTTTGTGAGTGAATTAATGAGCTGTTATTGACGAACTCATGTTTCCTGATCTGAACTCTGTAACTGCAGTTTAACATGTTTAACATGTTTATCATGAGTCACAGTTTGATCTGTATCAATCTGACCTCACTGATCAGTTTGTGTATCTGCATTTAAGTGTTTAACATCAGCTGATCAATGTAAATCTATCAATATATCTGATTTCACTGAATGAAGCCGCTCCTGTATGAACAGTGTCAGAGGACTCTTGGAGGGTGGTCGGTCTTCTGAGCATGTTCACTGTGTTCAGATTCTGATCAACAGGTGGAACATGTGACTCTGATGGAGGTGTTTACATGATTGTTATTGATTATCTGATCGATAAAATGCTCCATCGATCAGCTTCAGTCTATCAGCAGCAGTTTTGTTAAACTTTGACCTTCTTCCTGCAGCGATCACATCCTGGTCCTGGAGTCGTGGACTGCAGTCAAGAGAACCTAAAATACCTCGCTAAGCTCCTTATGACGCTCCAAGAGCAGCTCTCTCCTCCAGCTCTGCTCTGAAGAGAGGCCCGGCCTGACCCTGAACCCCAAACCCTGAACCATGTAACCTGAAGCCTGAACCCTAAAAACCTGAACCCAGAACCCTAAATACCTGAATTCTAAAAACCTGAGCCAAGAACCGCGAAATCTAGACCGTGACTTCTGAACCCTAAAAACCTGAACCCAGAACCTTGAACTGTGACCTCTAAACTTTGAATCTAGCACCTTGAGTTGTGACCTTTTAATTCAATACCTGAACTCTAAATTGTGATGTCTAAACCCAGAACCCTGAACTTTGACTTCTAAACCCAGAACCAGGAACTCAAAACTCTGAAATGTAACCTCTTCACCCAGAGCCCTGAACCTGGACCTGTGACCTTTAAACCCAGAGCCCTGAACTGTGACTTCTAAACCCTGAACTCTGACCCCAGAACCCTGACCTGTGAGCTCTGAACCCTCAACCCTGACCCCGAGCCTCCCAGACCCCGATGGACTGGATGTGAGGGCTATGATTTGAGAACCTGCTGGTTTATGTGATCTGACCTGGATTAGAAGTTGAGTTTATGCCCAGCACCATATTGTGAGTCAGAGCCTGAACTTCTGAACATGGGCAGCAGAACGGCGGAGAAGAGAGGCAAGTGAAACCGGACCGGACTAAACCACCTATGGAGGACCGACACACTGCCAAACCATCCATCCGTTGACTGTGGAACTTTTTATTGACGTTTAATTTCAGAAGCAAATATGTCAAACAGAGTTTTGGGGAAAAGTGTCTAAAATGACCCACAAGACATTGAGGATGTAAAAAGCATGGAGTGTTGGATTTCAACATGTCACTCAGTGTAAATATTATACTTTCAGTTAGGGGTACTCCAGTTTTCAGCCATGTTTCCGGCTGCTTGGACGTGATAAATAAAAACAGGAACTGACATGGCGGTCGGTAAGGTGACCTTCACAAAGGTGGAGAGAGAGAAGCTAGCTGAGGTCCTCTGGCTTCTCAACTGGATCTCTGTGCTGACGGGAGCGATCCTCTTCGGCCTGGGCTTATTCCTCAAAGTAGAGATTCAGAAATGGCAGGAAGTAATGTCAGACCAGGGGATCCTCTACGTGCCACATATGCTGATCACCACGGGTCTGGCGGCCTGCTGCATCAACTTCCTGGGTGGGAAGATCTGCCTGGACTGTGCCGACACCAACAAGTTCCTGCGCTGGAAGCTGGTGATGATGCCATATGTCATCTGCACTTTCTTCTTCACCTCCTGCGTCCTGGCGGGGGCGCTCATGTGCTACAGCATCCGCGGCCAGCTGGAGGAGTCACTGTTCCTGGGCCTGAGGAATGCCATGCGGTATTACAAGGACACAGATACGCCAGGCCGCTGTTACCTGAAGAAGACTCTGGACTTACTGCAGATCCAGTTCCAGTGCTGTGGAAACACTGGGTACCGGGACTGGTTCCACGTCCAGTGGATCAGCAACCGCTACCTGGACATGACCAGCAGCAGCGTGGTGGAGTAAGTGGAACCAGACTTGCTGGAACTCACTGGAGTGTTTAGAGATCCCAGTTGGATTTGAGGGGATCTTTGATGATCCCAGTAAATCCTGCTGGATTCTGGCAGATTCTCTCTGTGTTTAGACCAGCTGTTCTCACGCACTGTTTGTACATTTTCCTACGAAAAGTAATGCACCAAAATTTGTACATATCCCACATAATTATTAGCCGGTAATTCACGCATAACTCATGTATTTTGGGAGGCTGCGATGATGTGACTGATGTGCTGATGGGAGTAAGGAAGGAAGCGGTCCTGAATGGTCCAGTTAGAGGGCAGGCTGGGGCGGTGGATGGGTCACAACATGAAACATGTGAACTTTGAGTCATTTTAAAGTACGTTCCCACCATGTTCCTCTCCTAAACCCAAACATAGTAACTTTACCTGCCCAGAGCTAACCTCGTAATATCAATCATGGGACGCTAATTTGTAGGATATCACTGTTGTGAGGTGGATTCCAACAGTTTCTAGTTGATCCTGGTGAATACTGGAGGATTGACACTGAACACTTAACTCCAGCAGAACCCAGCTGTTCTTTTGGGTTTTAATAGTTCCCCTTCAAGTACTTTGATTGAAGATAGATTCTGATGGATCTTCAGGACTCTAGATAATAGATCCTGCTGAGTCCAGTTAGATTCTGTGGTGCTACAGTGGTTTCTATCAGAATCTAGTGGATCTGGCTGGACTCCACTTCACTGATGGAGATGTGAGGACATAAGAAATGTTTGTGCCAACCTGTCAGTGGACAGTAAACAGAGTATTTTCAGATTGAGGCCACCAGTCCGCTGCGGATTAAAGCTTGAAGCTACTCATGTCAAATGTCCTGGGATTAATTAGGTTTAACTGACAGGGTTCAACTCAGGTTCAAGGGACTCCGAATGACCCGAGTCTCAACAACTGAGTCTTAAAACACACTGTAGAAGGTTTACAGCACCGTCAACCCCACCCTTTATTTTTATATCAGCATTTTTTATCTGAGAACCAACGAGCAAATCAAAGTCACTGACAGTTCAACACTGACTCAGGATCTACAGCTGCCTAAGGACTAGTAGCAGTACTTGTTGTTGTGTCGCAGCAGTAGTAGGAACAGCAGGAGTAGCTGTTGTAGTAGCTGTTGTTGTAGTAGTTCCTAACTGCCTGCTCCTCCTTGCAGCCGCCTGAGGAGTAATGTGGAGGGGAAGTACCTGATGGACAGCGTTCCCTTCAGCTGCTGCAGCACCTCATCCCCTCGGCCCTGCATCCAGCAGCAGATCAGCAACAGATCGGCACATTTTAACTTCGACCAGCTGAGCCAGCAGCTAAACCTGTGGAGGAGAGGCTGCCGACAGGCTCTGATGGAGCACTACACCGGCATCATGCAGTCTATCGGTCTCACCGTGCTCCTCATCTGGCTCTTTGAGGTGCGCCCACTACAGATACATCACTCTCATTCTGGGTCCAGTTTACTTTGGTATTTGGTACTATCATGTTTTTCTTCTCCCACCAGCTGCTGGTTCTGACAGGGGTCCGTTACCTGCAGACGGCCATGGAGAACGTTCTCCGGCTGGGTGATCCTGACTTAGAGTCTGATGGTTGGATTCTGGAGAACAGCCTGGCAGAAACAGCCCGGTCCAACTTTAACATCATCAAGAACCTGGGGAAGTGCTACCAGGTCGATGACGACCCCAATATCAACATCCCTTCTGCCGCCGCCGAGCAGGAGGTGCCTTCCCGGCAGGTCCAGATCCCTGTGAGCAGCTAGCATCCAGCCTGAGGATCGACGGACGAGCTCCAGTGACGCTCTGTTGATCCAGAATTCAGACTCACTTCCAGCTCCAGGAGGTTCTGAGGAGGAACTGTCCTCTGGGAGAAGTTCAATGAGTTTCTGTCCTGAGGAGCTGAAGAAAAGCCTCATCGATGCCTTCTAGTTATGAAGTATGGAAAAAAGTACAGCTATTGAAGGTCTGGTGCAGTATTACTACTGCTAGTACTACTACTAACCCAGAATTCCTACTGCTACTACCCACTAAGCAAAGACGTTCAAAAGACATACACTGAGGAGCTGAATGAAAGTTTTTGTGACGTCTTTTAGGCGTCTTTTGAACTTGTCTCAGTGACATCTCACAGGGTACTGCCACCTGTTCTATTACTGCTACTACGTTCAGCATGTTTCCATCCTGAGGAGCTGAAGAAAAGTTTCATCGATGCCTTCCACATATGAAGTTTGGAAAGATGTCCAGCTGCTGCAGAGCTCTGCAGGTCTGACGCAACGTCTCTGCCTTCACATGGAAGTAAGAAGAACTGTTTGTAAGTGTGACCAGGTTCCACAAGGGTGTTAGGACAAGCTGTTGTTAGCATGTTAGCCATGTTAGCTCCCGCAGTTTATGTTTACGACCACCCCACCGTCTCCTATTTCCTCTCTCGGCTGCAACATGAGAACATTTCAGCAGCCGACATCTGGGCCACACTGCCTGCATGAGCAGCTCATGTGTCTTGTGTTTTTCTTCAGTGCCTGTGATAACAGGTTAGAGGAACAACACTGCCCATGTTGTCAGGCATCATCTACAGAACAGGAGTCTAGCCTATTTTTTCAGCATGATACATTTTTCAGCTAATATAGAGTGAAAATGGTCTTTTAATGATCATACTGACTTTTTATCAGCCTTTACTACAGTCTCAATGTCTCTATCTGTCACAGACATGAAAAAATATTAATATTTATTTTTAAATCAATCTTTCCTGTTTCAGTTTCAAAATAAAAGCCCTCTGACTAGGGTTGGGACTCGTTAGGATTTTAACGATTCTGATTCCTTACCGATTCCTACATTATATTCATTATACTTGCTATACTTAAACAAGTATATAATAAACACAAATGCAATCATACAAATACAAAAACTTTATTCTAACTGTTGCACAGTACAATTAGATGAAAATACACATTTGTGTGTGGTGTGTATTTCAGATTTAGAGCTTGTATCATCTCCCTGACAATATATAACAACAAAAAGTGATTCTCTGATTTCTACAGTAACACTATTACCTCAAATTAACCACAGCAATGTAATAAAAAATACTTATATGAACTCATGCTTGGGCACTGTTATTTACATGACAACACCTGAACATAACACACACACACATTGACTTAACATCAGTGTGCTAACATGCTCACAATGACAATGCTAATGTCATGCTAGCAGCTCTGTGAGCCTGAATGTTAATGTCAGTGTGCTAACATGCTAACATGAGCTGACTCAGAGCTGCGGCTGATGCAGTTATTGATGATGGTGCTACATGAGCAGTTCCCACAGTTCATCCTCAGAGACGAGTTGAACTGTTGCTTTGTGTTTGTTTCTTTAGTTTAAACTGATGATGACGTCAGAACAGTTTGAGTCATAATAATGTGAGTGAGTCAGAAAACACCCAGCCAATCAGGTTCCACCTCTGTTTTTTTAAAGGGACAGTCCAACATTTGATTCATCAAGTTCATCTGTGTGTGTCTGTGTGTGTGTGTGTGTGTGTGGTTAGCTTAACTCAGCATAAAGACTGCAAGTAGAGGGAAAGTGTTAGCCTGACGTCTGCGTGTTTCCATGGAAACTGACTGTATGATGATGATTTTAATAAAGATCAGTCTGATGTGTTTATGTTTACTAACAAAACATGTTTATTTGTTTATATTTGACTCTTTATGATGTTTATGAATAAATGATGTCATAATTATATAAAAAGATTTGGCTGCTGCTTCACTGTGTGTCTGTCTGTGTGTGTCTGTCTGTCTGTGTGTGTCTGTCTGTCTGTCCCTCAGTGTCTCTCATTAATCCTGTTCCTGTGTTTGTCCACTGGAGGGAGACAGAGACACTCTGCTTCTAACACATCATAACATCCATTGTGTGTATAAACACGGGGCTGCTGTTTAAAGACAGACAGTGTCCAGTCGTCTCACAGTCGCCGCCCATCTCATGTTCAGTAGGTCCAGATAATCCTGCAGCCAAGAGTCTCGATGAAGCGTGCTGCTGTCCGCTCCTTCCTGTTCAGAGGAGTTAGTAGATGATCTGCAGTGCAGTGTCCTCAGGCGCTCAACAGTGACGGCAACATCACTGTCCAGAAACATCTGCAGCTGTGGACATCATGTTATACATGTGTGAGACCCCGCCTCCTGCCAGCGACGCCTGATCCCACTCTGGACACCAGGCAGCCCCCCCCCCACCAACATGGTTTATGTAAAACAGGAGATAACTGAGCGTGTGTTCAGAGGTCAGAGGTCAAACTGATGTTTCACTACTACAGTATCAGCTGTGATTGGTCAGCAGTGGTGTTTGTCTCCCCCTGCTGCTCATCTGTAGTACTACAGCTCCACCGTTAGCCAATCGCAGAGGCAGATGGTTGTCATGGTGATGACCACATGGTCATCAGTGCCCCCCCCCTTAATCCTTTGTTCCCCTTCTTCACCTCCTTCCCTCTGTCTCTCCATCCTTTACTCTCTCCTCATCCTTTTTGCCTTGTTTCTGATGTCCTTTCTCTTTCCTCAAGTCCCTTGTTACAGTCCCAGTTACATAGGTTTATATATGTGTGTGTGTGTGTGTGTGTTATCAATCTTCTCTCTCTTCCTCCCTCCTCTGTCCTTAATCCCCCTCTTCTT